AATCGATTGCCTTAAACTTCTTTTTCCAATGTTTTGAGTAAAACATTGGTGGCGACTCCATGAACCCTTCCTTTTTATGAAAACCGCTAATCCATGGAGGGTCCCGCTTGGGATTAACATGGATTGGTGAGCCTTTTAATAAAATTGCTCGTTTGACAAGGTCTCAGTTTGAGAATAAGTCATTCTAGCAATCCATATTTTTAAACAAATAAAAGAGTCCAACCATCCTTCGCGAATGCCGAAAGCCCGTTTCGGGCCGGTGGCGACAGTGAATACTAAGATGAATGTACTTTGAAAGAAGAATGTGAAGTTGAATGTAAATGGAATAACACTTGCGATAACTAGAGTTTTTATATACCTGAACTCAAAAATAATCTCTTGATTTTATGCCAATTACAAGAACAAGGTTTGGCCATTATAATTCAATCAAGGATTGTTGTATGTATCACCTTTGTAATTCAATCAAGGATTGTCAAATATATCATCCTCACAAAGGTTTGATTATTTAGACAAATATGACAACAAACAGAACGCTTGTGTGGTTAACTCAGGTTCAAGTTCAAAGGGAATCTTACTTCAACATTACTACACAAAATATCACTCAGCGATGGCATTGTTGATATGCTCATCTTAGCCACAAGAGACTAAAGATGTTATTGTCAAAATGAATGGTTAAAGGCCTACCAAATTTACCAAACTCTATAGTAGTGTGTACTGATTGTATGATAAACAAGCAACATCGTGACTCAATTCCAAAGAAAAGTTAATGGAGATCGACTTAGAGATTACAATTAGTCCATGTAGACATTTGCAACCCTATTACTCCAATTTCTAATAGTAATAAGATGTACATACTATGCTTTATAGATGATTATTCTAGAAAGAAATGATCATGTTTTTATTAGAAAAATTAAACACATTTTATTTCCTTAAGTGTTTCAAGGTGGTTTTGGAAAATGAAGTGTTAAGTGTTTATCTACAAAAAGAGGTGGAAAGTTTAATTCCATGGACTTCAATGAGTTTGGTAGGCATAATGGGATAAAAGGCAACTAATTATGACAAACACCCCTACAAAAGGAAATGGTTATAAAGATCAAAAAAATATTGATCCTTAATACTAAGAAAAAAGCTTAACTAATAGTTTAACTTTCAGACCTATAAATACTTATGGTAAGCCTAGAGGTAATCATGCTATGATTGTTTAGAAATTATCTCGAGAGCATCGAGATTTTATTATCACCTTTCCATTAAAAGTTAGAATACCTGGTAACTTAATTTATTTTCTTATGACCGATTTCTATGAGAAACAATTTTTCAATTACATTAGCATGCATATGAACCAAAATTTTACTAATAAAAACTTTCATTTATCCTGGTTGATAAGAAATTAAACTGTTAATATATAAATATTATAAGTTTATAAAGTACGTACTCCAGAAGTTTGCTAAATAATAATTATAATAATAATAATGGTTTTGCTAATCAATGTCTTAAGAACACAAGTTAAAAAAATAGAAAAGGAATTATTAAAAATTATGATAAATTTGTATTGAAAATTACATACTGTTTTAATAAAAAAAAAATCATTTTTTCTCTCCTTAAAGAGACACTTGTTAGCTTTTTCTTAATAATAATGATTTAAATTCTGTAAAAGATTTTCGGCGACTTGCTTATATGTCGGTGGAAATTCATTAACGATACATATGAAACCAAAGTGAAATTAAAACCGAAACCCTTGCAATTATATATTCAAAATATAATTAATAAGAGCAAAATTATGGCACTAAATCACTATTAAAAAAACTATTTTTTTCACTTATTTATTTATATTCTTTTTCTTATTTTTATAACATCCATGAATGTAACTGACTGACTGGATCAATTTGAATTTTTGTCCCATATGTCCATCCAATTAAACTCCAAATTAAGTTGATTTGCACTACACCAAAATTAGGTTTTTGTGGCAATTAATTTATTCTTTAGCGACCATATAAATGGTCATTATTTTTTTTACCAGCATTTAGATAATGGCTGATGTATCAAGTGTCGCTAATACTATTACTGGCATTTATATAAAATGCTGGTAAAGACCTACTAAATTGTCGAGAAAACTTATTTTTTTTAGTGGCAATTTTAGTAGCCATTTTAAAGGCTATTAAAAGTTATTTTTTCAATTGTCTCCTTTCGATCCATTTAGTGACTTTTATCTTTTGCTAGTAAAACTTTAAATAATTTATTCCTATAATTTTCTTTTCTAAATTTATAACTTATATACTCTTTTTTTTGCTCTCTAATTATTTTATAGCACTATTGAACTTGGTAATAGTGAGTGATTTGATATTAATTTATTATAGTGAATTAAGAGTCTAACTCAACCCTATAAATCAACTTATAAGGTGATAGTTATTATTCACTTATATACTATTTAATTATCTTATCTCTAATCGATGTGGGACTAGTTTTTTTCAATAAATAATTGTCGCTAATAGTAAACTTTAGTGTAATATAAATACACTTTTAGTGGCTATTATATATTAGCCATTAATATTTTTATTATATAATTAAATAGCGACAATTAAATTATTTCCATTAAACAATTGTCGTTAAAAATAATTTTTGTTGTAGTGTTGATTTCTCATCTATTATATTTCCGTTAACATTACTCCCTTAAATAAATACAGTAAAAAAGATGGAAAGTTGAGATTGTGAAAGGATTATAATTGAATTCTATGCATAAAAACCGACATTGTTAATTTGTTATTTTATATATATATATATATATATACTAGTGTAATTCAGATGATTGAGAGGGGAAACGTTAACGATAACTATTGTCACATGTCAATAATGACAAATTAATGTACCTAAACAATAACTCCCCGTACACGCATAATTTTAGAATCGCTAGTACAACTCCAACGTTAATGGATAGTGATATGATATGATCATATGTTGACGAAACAAAATAACAAAATCATTTAGACTACGCAGTCTTGGCTCTTTTTGGCTTGTTCATCTTCCTCCACTGGAAACACTTCTCCAGTGACAACAATGGTCTTTAGAGGTTCTGCTGGACTCTTTTCCATTGTAATACTATTACCCTTCTTATCTCCTTTTCTGTAAATTAGGTAGAGCAGCATTTGAAGTAACCCCAGCACAAATCCAAGTACATTTGGGAGCTACACAATAAGAAAAATAAAATATTAATTAATTGTCACTGGCTGAATTAATATTAAGAAAACAGAAATGATGCATTCTCTGAAAAGTTTTGGCCGATAGTTCGGAATGTTGATTTGAAACTTTGATTCAGAGTCCAAAGTATTATTCTTAAAAAAATTCAATTGTAGAAACTAGGTACGTACAATATATACTTACAGCAATGCATATGTCCTTGAGAAAGAGACCATAACCAAACCACATTACGGCACTCAAAGTGAGGGTAAATGACAAATTGAAAGGCATAAACTCTACACTCTTTGTCCGAACAACTTGTGCCTGTAGGAGAAAATAAGATATGTGAATGTGACTGAATTGAATAGCTAGTACTTATAGACGCATCCATGCATGAAATAAGGAGTTGTTGGTATATATATATACCACAATGCTTAGCGGTGCTGCAAAGACACTGACTGAAATGGAAACACAAATCCATCCGAGGACTTGGACACGAAGGGGACCATGCACAGCAAAGTGTGTCACTAAGAAGATCAAAGCAAAGGAGCCTATGTTCATCGCGGAAAATAGCTTGACAGTTAAGGTCTGCAATTCAAGTAATTGACAAATTTTAGTGTGTGTACTGTTTATATATATATATATATATATATTGAAATTCAATTATTATTAATTTGAAAATGAAAGCTTCTGTACCCTAGCATCCCTGGTTGCATAGGTGATGTACAAGACGATGTAGAGTGTCTCCACAACACATCCGAATGAGTTAATGGTAACGAGGAGAAAAGCATTTCTTTTCAGCAACGCATAGTACAACCAAAGCATGGAACTGAACAATGCCACCAAGTAAGGCAGTGACTGAAAACTTTCCGTAGATTTCTTCTTGTATATCCGGTAAAATGTTGGCCTGCAATATTCAAACACATATATATGTTCAATTTTCATAAAGATTGTCCTTAATTTAATGAAATCATTAATTAAATGTAATTTGTAACAATGAGTTCGTAATATGTACTTACATTGGAGCCAAAAATACCAATAACGAAATGACATTGCCTGCACGTGCATCAAAAAGAGAACAATTCCTTAGCTTAATATAAACAAGGTACTAATTATATTATATTAACGATTACTGCATAGCATAAATGAGAAGTGTACACAGATGTTTAAATTAAGAGTAATTAGTATAAAATTAAAAAAGAAGTTGGGGATTATAGAGAACACATTTAAAACGTTATATATATATATATATATTAACCTTTCAAAATATTTTACACTAGAACATAAAGGGGTGTAAGACATATTAAGAAAATCAAACAAACAAGAAAAAATTACTTGTAAGGGATAAAATAAATAGTAGATTAATAGAAAAAAAAAAACGAAAAATAGATTATAACTTTTTAAAAGTGAAAAGCAGAATGTAAATATTGTAATATTCAAAGGTAACAAAATCATTTTTGAACCAATAAGAAGGAATGAAATATAAGAGATATAGAAAAGACTGGTGACAGCTGAAAGAGCACAATTAATGGTGGATCGTCACTACCTAACATGCCAAATGTAAATGCCAAAGTATGGTGACTGATAACCATGCTTTTCTTTACCACAAGAATTAGGAAAAATTAAGGGAGAAACGTTTTAACTTTCTTCCCAACTCAACCCCTAAATCTCAGGCAGGCAGAGAAGCTGTTTTGAGGATGGTTTCACAAGCCAACTCTATATATACACACACTTGACGAGAAACCAATTAAAAAGAAACTGCAAAAATAAAAATGTATATAGTACAGTTCTTGACTTATTGTCACACAATATACTAATACTATTTTGTTCCGAGGGAAGAGATATGCGGACTGCATGCATATTGCATAGTGAACAGATTCACAGGTACGTAGTTGAACTTTTTAGTTGGCAGCTTACGTTCCATGAAATCATTTTGATTGGTATCATTTTGTCATATATATCATCATTAGTCAATACGCGACTGAGAGAGGACGGAATCAGCATTATTCCATTTTACATTAGTCAATCAGCTTAGAATATCAAACTAGCGAGATTCATTTCACGTCACTAAGATTAATAAAGAATAGTTCAAAACTATGATGCTTATTATAAAAGAAAAAGGAAATGTTCAAAGCTAGGATTGGAGTAATGTAAAGTATGAGTAAAATATTTATGATGAAAGTGTCGATCAATTTATTGCGGGTTACCTTTTACACCAATAGGGGCAAAGTCGGGAGTAGCCTTAACTTAATTAAGAGACCTGGGCTATCGTGTCAAATTCAATTTTTTTCAGTTGTTAGAAAATTAATTATGGCATTACGAAGCTTTACTAGAGTGAAAAGGGTGGACTGTATTCAAGTCCTTCATCCCTGAGAATTAATTAATCTGCTTTTCATTTGCATCTACAGCCTGTGATGATAACGAAGTAACCTTCACTTTACTTGCCACGTAGCCTGTACTACCTGATTTTCTTCCCATTCTCGCATCCGAGCTTTTATTGTTGTTGTACTCATAACAAGTAATCAAGACTCAAGTACTGGGGGTCATCCACGTTACCTTTCTTTTAGGAAAAAGGCTTATTATAAATGCCCTAAATAAATTGTTAAAAAAATAGTGAAAATTTTAGTAATGCACCTAAAAATTACAATTTCATAAATAGGGACGTTTTCCAAATCTGTTGATCTATACTAGTAGTATGTTTTCTTTACGGGATGGAGTAGCAAAATGGAACTTCAACTTTTGATTGCAGTGTCTTTTTTTTTCAATATTATTTTTTCACATCCAAATTATTTTGATGAGTGCGCTTTTAATATCCACCGTTTAATGGGAAAAGACTTGTCTGTCTTAAAGGTCTTAATTAGCATCAGGACCAAGGTCTTAATTAGCATCAGGACCACCATTGTACGCTCATAAAATTTACATAGTTTCAGGTGCTTTTCACATACATTGACATTGACTCTTTGGTACGAAGGAAATGCGAGGAGAGAAAAGGAAAGAATTAGTTATTTAATAGGAAGAAAATGAGGGGGGAAAAAGAAAGAAAAGAAAAATAAAGTAATAGACCTCACTTGAAATAGAGAGAGAGAAGAGAGAAATGATTCAAATGAATTATTTTACATTTAATATGACTTCTTTACTTTATTTGGATATGAAGATAGTATACCAAAAATCTCTAAAATGTATTATTTTTTCATATATTTTCATTCACTATATTTCTTTTTCTTCTCTATTTTCATCATTTTATTTCTAAATAGACCTTAATGTGTATAATACAAAGAAAACAATAACAAATAAACGCTTAAGCTGTAAAATATTTTTTTTAAAATTTTATACATTTGGTAGATAATGGATAACACAAATAACGTAATATTCTTTGTAATACTTATCTAAATTTATTTTATACATATATATATATTAAATATAATCATATATAATTTAATTTTAAATAAATTATACAACATAATTTTCAAATAAGAAAGTGGGTTATCATAAAAATAAAAAAAAATAAAAAAAAACTGAAAAAACGAGAGAGTGGAAGCGAGAAAGTCGAGAAAGAAAAGAGACCTGGGGGACAAAAATAAATATTTTGTATTTAAGATAAAAAAAATGTTTCATAATTTATTAAATAATAAAATTGAGTTTGATATATATATATATATATATATATATAGGAGGGTTATAATTAATAACACTGGTATAACTTTTATTAAATATTACACCGTTCAATAACTTTATATTAAATATAAATTTGGTAAATTCAACAGTTAGATTAAACGTTTTTTACTCGCAGATCATATATACAAAATTTTATATTAATATAAGATGATTTAATACTTCATTCTTATAAAATAATGTAGGGAACAAAAAAAATCTTCTTTTCTTTTATGCACAATAATAATGATGAGAATGATATTAAAATAACACCATAAAAAAAATAAAGAAAGAGCACACAAATTTATTTAACATAGTTCAGTCCCTCATGCCTACGTCCACAATGATGTTCATTATTTATCTTAAATGTATTACATATATCCTGAAAATCTTCCCTTCATGTTTTGTGGGTTAAACTTGAAAACCTCTTCCTTACAAGTTTTATGGGTGAAACTTGGAAATTCCTTCCTCACAAGTTTTCTAACTAAACCCTAAACCCCTTCATATGACCTCTTCTCTCATTTAAGGCAGTGACCCCCTACAGGTTGAGTGATTCTTCTCATCTCAAGAGTCTCTATTTATTGAACTTACATCACAATTTTAAAAGACGAAACAAATCTCTAAAATAAATACAATATATTTCAATTCTAAACAATATCTTAAAAAATCAATATCTTTTAAAATCTAAATAATATCTCAGAGATTTGAATTTGAAAATTTGAATTGTTTTCCCAACAAATAAAATTGACGTAATATATTTAATTACCTTCAAGTTATTATTCAATTTTAACAAAATTTGATATACACATCTAAAGTTATATGAACTTTCGATCTAACGGTTAGATTTATAAAATTCACATTTAATATAAAGTTATTGAGGAGTGTAATACTTAGTAAAAGTTACATCAGTATTATTATAATCCTTCTCATATATATATGTTATTCTATTTATATTGTCTCATAATTTTTTATAGTTAAATCTGAAAATTAATGATTTTATTTATGTATGATGTTCAATGTTATTTTATTTTTTAGCAAATCAAACTAATAAGTGCTTTACTTTACAACTTTTGATTAACAATAATTGAAAGAAAAAGAAAACTAGGATTAAAAAATAAGTTGTAAATGAGGAGCATATTTAATTTAGTGATTTTAACATTAACACGACGCAGCCTTTGAACATGTGGTGGACGTAGATCCGTCAAACTAGTCTCGTCTCGCCAACCATAAATATTGATACTGGAATAAAATCTGGGATTACAGTCAAACGAATACTCTCAACCATGAATGATGATACTCTTTTGCTTTAAATGAATCATGACTTATAAGAATAAAATCTGGGGTTACTAATGCCTGTCTTCTGGGACTAGCTTCAAAACCGTCCACGACATGTTACAAAAGCCATGCAAGAGAATCTCGCATCAAACACTATAAATAATAATTTCGTTTATTTATTATATAACGTAGTATATATGTAATCATATACTTTTGCCTAGTTACCCATAACGGACCATATGTACCGGTACTCATTCGTATAAATAGACACCTAAGGTAGGTCAGGTTGGTCCAAGAGCAAGATTATTAAAATCCAAATTTTAGGTTCATGAACTAAAATTTATTTACTTTTTTTGTGAAGTAAAAAAGTTATATACATTGATTAATAGCTCAAAATATAACTCTTTTATATCATGTATAAAAGTTTCTTTCAAATTTTACTTTAATCTTCATCATTGTTTGGTCGGCTTTGAAGAAGGTATAGCAATGGATTTTTTAAAAAAAAAAATACTTTAATCGATAAATAACATTGTATCTCCTGAAAAAAATTCCAACTCAAGATTCATTAAATACTTGTCTCTTTTAGGCCAATTGTAATCGGGTGCAAATTGACTTAGTCACATTAATAAGTAACTAAGTATATTGGTAGTCAGCTGACATGACAACATGTAATTCAGATTCTCATAATTTCATAAATTGATTATTAAAATATAAAATAAGTTACTTTGAGATTTTCAGAGTTTATCTAAAAAAATTCAAAATTCTGACACATGTATATATAACTCTTTTAAGCCTTAAGGTTGAGATGCAATAAGTTAGATTAGAATTGGGTTGCTCAAAAGAATCTTTTTGTACCAACACATGTAACGACTTACCATGACTGTTATATTATGTAACATATAACTAAAATAATTCATATTATATACTAAAACATTAATATAATATAAGTACATTCACGACTCAGGAATATATACAACTATGTTGCCTAACCAGCAACCATAAACATCTATACAGCACTACCAAAATGGAGTCAACAAAACAAGGTTATTCAGCTCCCACCACTAGGTGGCCTCCTATAGTAACTTGCTAGCCTATCCTTGTCCTGCTCCCATATAACGTATGATCATCGCAATCCAAATCACATGAAAACATGTAAGGGTAAGTCAAGTAAAATAAACAACTCATATGTAATTATGTAACACATCAACTATAAATTCATCTTCACATCCAACACAAGCAACAAACGACGCATATACTACATATCTTAACTACACTTCAACGATACAACACAGTATCAACATATCAACACATGCATCATCACGTATTTCAACTCGATGATCTCTTATAACACATGGTGAGTAGTCTAAGTGGTTAGGTCTTACCAAATCGACAACACAATGATCTTTTTGGGTTTGCTAGCTAGATCAACAACAAATTGGATATCAATCCACAAAACATGATAACGGTTACTTAGACTGTCACTTAAACAAGGAAGTATAATACTATGTTAGGATAGAACAGTTGGGTCTAAGCCTATAATGATATTAGCTAGCTTAACTAAGCCACCTATGGAATTAGCCGACCGGCTATCCACCAAATACTACAATCCTCCGATACTCGGTTAGGAACTAAGTTCACAACTTCGTACTTTACTCGATTTGGTCGCTTGTAATCAGTATAGCTCGATCTGGCCCCTATACTGTGGTCACTTTATATAAGTATGTCTTGACCTTACCCACACACGGTACCAACTAAGCCCTAGAGGAGAACAACACGATATCCACTCCAA